CGCAAACGGCCGCGTCGTGACGCCGACAAAGTACGCCGCGTTCGCCAGCACGGTGATGGGGATGATGGGCAGGTACAACCGCAGCCAGCGCCGCACGAGTGTCAGCTGGAAGTACCGCGAGAAGGCGCCCTCGCCGCCGCTGCTGCACGCAAGCACGCTGTGCGCCATGGCGTAGCCGCCGATGATGAAGAACAGCGGTACCATGGAGTGCACCGCGAACGGGAGGCGCAGGATCGGGAGCTGGAAGAGCCAGCGGTTCTCGGAGGAGGGCGAGGCCCAGAAGGAGTTGTAGGGCGCGACGAATTCGCCCATGATGTAGTGGTTGTAGGAAACCGAGACGGCGGCGATGGCGCGGACGCCGTCGAGCCAGCGTATCCTCTCCATGGCCGGTAGATGATTTTGTGAAGAGGATGTCTAGTTTTGTGATGTGAGGATTTGTTCAATGCTGTCAAATCGAGATACTAGCAGAAAAAGGTTGGATGAAAATGGGTTCAAAAGCGTATGGCCCCCAAAACGAGAGCAATATGCGGAAACCGGACCGCCTGGTGCTTGGGTGATCGGAGAGATTATCACGTCAAAATGCTCCGCCGAACGAACTCGGCTTTAGCCATATAAATCAGATCGGCATTCAACAACCATAAACGGGCGTAAATTCGCCGAAGACGTTTCGTCAACCAGCGCAAGACACGGTCGGCGGCGAGTTTCACAATGGGCAGCAAGCTTGACTCGCCTCCCTGTCCAGCAACACAACGCGTCTTGTCACAACAGTAAACTCTATTCTGGCGTCGCAGCCAAGCTGTGACAGGAACATGACTGACTCCTGTAACTACTCCCACCGGAAACTCCACTCCAGCATTGGCATTCCTGGTGGCCTGGGGACAATATGCGATTTCGAGTGTGATGGGGAGATGCGGCCCGAGGAAGATGACCATCCAGCGGGAACAGCACAAAAAAAGGCAGAGTCCACTTGTCTCACCGCACGATGCGACGATCTCGTAACGGTTCCTGCATAACGCGTCGTCTCATCATGTTACTCCTTCCGAGTTCTGGATGAACGTTAAAGAAGCTGGCATTGTATTAAGAGCAGCACGTCAACCCAAGCTTCTGGGAATCTGTGAGAGTTTGATTGTGTTCGTCCCGTCTTTCGTTGACTTTCGCCCGATCTCTGTCCATCCCATCTCCTTCGCACCACACTCTATTAAGCCACCATCACCATGTCTGAGAAGGGCTCAGAGTACAGCTCTGAGAATGAGAGCACATTAGTCACACCGATAGAGACGACAAAACCAGTATGGCCACTGGTAACGCCGCGGACCAGGAAAGAGTTGTACCACACCATCATCAAGTACAACTACTGCGTCTTTCCCATTAGTCTGGGACTCACATTCTGCCGTAAGTACTCCAGATTCATCATTCGTATTACTCAAAGAGAAGATGTTCTGACTCGCCGGTATGTAGTCCTCTGGAAGCTTGCCTACGTGACAAATCGGTACCAAAATGCCGTGGCCGTCGACAACCAATGGAACTGGGCGACCATTCTCCAGACATCACTCCTGTTCTTTGGTCTCCTAGCCCAAATGCCACCGTACGTCTCCGTATGGAGCCTGTGCATGCCTATGCGACCCGGCTCGCACGCCCAAGGGCCGGCGAAGCGTGACTTCAGGAGCTTGAGAGTGTGCCTTGTGACGAAAGGCACAAACTTTGATGTAAGTGCACATTTCACCTCACCGTCATTTCTTGAATCACTCTAACATGGTCGAAGACCGTCATCAGAGCCACCAGGGCCTGGGCACCGATGCAAAACATCCCGGGCGTGCGTTTCCACGTTCTGCTGGACGACGAGACGAAGGAAGTCGAGTTCCGCCAGGCACTCCCCTCCTTCGTCCAGATCGTCGTAGTCCCGTCGGCCTTCACGCCCAGCAAGGCCAAGTACAAGGCCCGCGCGCTGGAGTACTACCGCAGGAACCAGCAGCTCGGAAGCGGCGACTGGGTCTTGCATCTCGACGAAGAGTCCATGATTGACGAGGCTGTCATGGAGGCTTGCATCAACTCTATCACGAAGAGCGACATTGATATGTTCATGGTACGTGCATCTCTGAGTTGTAGATTTCTGTAGAAAAGGTTGCTGACGAAGGCTCGCTGAACAGGGAACGTTGCACTACAACGACGTCAACCACTGGAAGAACGGCTTCCTCTCTACGGCCGAGACGCTCCGCTCGCAAGAGGACTTTGGAAAGTTCTCCTTCTCGGTCAGGATGCGTAACAAGCCCATGCTCGGCTGGATGCACGGCTCTTGGATCTTGATCAACGGCGCCGTCGAGAACGCCACGACCTGGGACACCGACTGCCAAGCGGAAGACTTCTGGTTTGCCTACAACGTATGTTGACCTGCCCCATTCTGGAGCATGATAGAACACCATGGAAGACTAACTTGACTTTTACCAAAGTCCTCCGCAAAGGGATACAAGTTCGGCTGGATCTGGGACCCCGTCCACGAACAGCCCAATGAGACGTTCCAAGACTTTTGGAAGCAGCGCAGGAGATGGTACACAGGCATCCTCTCCATCCCTAGCGTCATCGTGCAAATCTCGCTTGTGGTAAGCGTTATTGGTGAGCTGGTATACTGGATTGGGTATGTTTCTCCCCTTCTTTCCTGGGTTGATGTCGAGTGCATTACTGACTTTGAATCCCCCAGACCCATCTACACACAGCTCGGCGGGTCTTTCATCATTCCCAAGTGGCTTTTCATCTGGGGCCTCTGGCATTTCACCGTCGACACCCACAGTCTCCTTGTTGCATCATTCATGTCAGACCTCACGGCACCAGAGGGCGTGACGTGGCTTCAGACGCTGCAACATGCCATCCAGACGGTGTTGCTTGCGCCGATAGTCCGTCTCGTACAGGTCTCGGCTCTGGTGACGTGTATCTTCAATCCAGCCAAGGGGTTTGCGATTGTATCAAAGAAATAGAAGAGAGCAGTCATTGTCATAGACATTAGAGCATAGAGCGGGACGGAGGTATAGCTGGGCGAGCTTGTCCTCATTAATAGAACCACTAATATAGAGACTCAAAGGACCATGTATTACGCTTGTTCACTTACACACACCACAATGTCTAGTAGTGGTATGGGGAGCCCAGTCAGTGCCCAAGGGGCCGATGTAGCAACCTCTTATGATGTCGAGAGATAGACTAACTCCTGTCATGAAACGTGGGCCACACCTTTGGACATATCATGGGCCGATCCGTTCTCTGCGGGTCCGATCGGTATGCTTCCGGAGCTCCCGCAGGGTGGCGCTCGGGTGGCGTCCCACCACACGCACCGTTGGCTGAATCATAGAAAGCTTGATTTAACGATTCTCTTGTATTAACGAGCAGGTATCTTAGTTGAAGGTAGCAATGATCTTGTCCGCCATCTCAGGCAGCGTCTTGGCAACGACGTCCATCTTTCCGAAAATATCAGGCAGCTCCTCTCCCTCCAAAGCCTCACAGTAGGCAGCGTTGAAACTGGGTAACAAGTTAGAATATGTTGAAACATTCAGCGTGGAGACGTAGTACTTACCCAACAGTCTTTGCTGTTGACGCATCCCAAAGATGCGCAGCCGCAAACCAAGGCTTGCCGTTCTCAGACAGCTTCTTCAGAATCGGCGCATACGCCTCAGGCGTAGGCTTCGCCAGGCCCGACGAGTCGCACGACAGCAGATTCTCAACCGGCATATCCACGCCTCCCCTCGAGAAATAGCCGCCCACACGCGCAATGTCGCCCGCCGTGAAGCACCAGACAGTGAAGCCGGCGTCGCGCAGCTTCTGGACGCACTCGGCAGCGCCCTCGCGCAGGCGCAGCTTCTTCCACTCGTCAATCAGGTAGTTGACGTCGTCGTCGGTGCAGAACTCGCGCGGCTTTTCGATGCCGGCGTAGTGCAGACAGCGGTAGAAGAGCGACTGGAAGACCTTGAAGAAGACGACGTAGCGGCCGGACATGGAGAGGTAGGTGTACTCGCGCTCGGCGACCTCGAGCCAGCAGCAGCCGAGGAGCTTCGGCTGGATGCCCCGGGCCTTGAGACGCTCGCCCAGGCGCTCGTCGATGGCCTCGAACAGGTGCTCGTATGAGACGAGAGTGCCGACGACGTCGAACACGACGTTCTTTGATGCGGCCATCGCAATGTGTGTGTGTTGTGTTTGTGTTGTGTGTGCGGAAAGTGGAGGCCGGTGAGTGAGGGGGTTTTGCGGGGTTGTGAACAAGACACGATTCAGAGCCTAATTAAGACACGGGTCCTGATGAAGTAATGGAAATGCTGAGTTGCCTGGTTAGAACTGAATCTGACGATGTGGCTTATTCTGAGTAATCTTCATACACGGCGTCAGACAAGAAGCAGGTTAAATAAAAGAGGCCACAATGCTTATCGCAGGCGAGGGCCGGCGGCCGATGCATATCACCAAACACGCGTCCGTGATCTCCAATCTTTCCCCGCATTCTGGAACACCCCCCGAGCGGTTTCGGGGTTGGACATCCCCGGACCGGAAGGGAACGTTTTCCGGGCACTGGGCCCCTTGCTGCGCTGCGCACCCGGATGAGCCAAAAGACATTCCGGTCGGTCGGTTAAATCCAAGGGGCTATGCTAGATAGCCGGGCCGGTGTCTTCAGAAGCGTGGTTTGTAAGATGAGATGCTCGTGATGTCGATCTTATCTTGCGCACCGATGGGACGGTGCCGCGACTCCTATCGGCCCATCGGGCGCACCCTGCACACTGGCGGCTCCACAGATAATGAGCCAACAGGCGAGGATACCCTCATGTTCGGTGAACTTTAACCAAGTCGGCCGAGACGCGTTTACGTGACTGTTGGCTTAAAAAGTGACGCCTCTCCGAGATTTGAAGCGCCGCACCGGCCAGTTAGTGAAATCAGTCACCGACGAGTCATTTTGGTTGTTTTTATCTCGTACCCCGCTATCAGATCTGAACTCCTTCAAACTCCGCGCTATCACTATCACTATCACTATCACGATGGTTCTCCCGATCAGCAACCCAACAAAGTCCTACTGGATCGAGGGGGCTGAGTCCCCCCTCCGCAACTTTCGTTCGACCGAGGAGCTGCCCAAGGAAGTCGATGTGGTAATTGTTGGCAGTGGTTATGCCGGTGCGACGACCGCGTACTGGCTTCAAAAGGTATACCCGAAAAGCCCCTTCGCAACGCGTTTGAACCGCCTTCTGACCACGATTTCAAGTTCACGGAAAATGCGCCGCAAAAGCCCAAGATGCTCATGCTGGAGGCGCGCGACATTTGCGGCTCATCAACAGGCCGCAACGGCGGACAGCTGAGGCCTCACGCCTACTCACGCTACAAGCCGTGGTCCGTCCGTTTTGGCCCCAAGGTTGGAATGGAGCTCATCAAGCATGAGATGGCGCATCTCCCCGCATTCAAAGAGCTCGCAGCCGCAGAAGGCATCGCTGAGGAGATCTGCCTGAAGTTCGGCGAGACCTTTGACGCGGCCATGACGGACGAGGCATGGGAGCGTCTGAAGGGCAACTACGAGGCCATGAAGAAGGACCATGGAGAGGGTGACGATGTGGTCAAGGTCTGCAGGCTGATTGAGGATCCGAAAGCCGCGGAGGAGTTCACACAGATGAAGTCTTGCGTGGGCGCGGTGGTGCATCCCGCCGGTCAAGTGTGAGTATCGTGTCCTCTTCAATGCCAAGGCTTCAGGGGTAGCTGACAAATTTTCAAGATGGCCGTACAAATTCGTCCACGCCTTGCTCAGGAAAGTCCTTGAGACGGGCAACCTGAACCTCCAAGCACACACACCCGCCGATAGCGTTTCTGAAAAGGATGCCGACGGCTGGGTGACTGTGAAGACCCCAAGGGGCGATGTTAAAGCAAAGGCTGTAGTGCACGCCACCAACAGATGGGCCTCGCACCTTCTGCCTAATTTCAGCAATCTGATCTTTGAAGACCGATGCACCATCGCGTCTTTGAAGGCTCCGGAAGGCTTCATCAAGCATACTGGTGCTCAGCACTGGGATAGCAACGTTAACGTGAGTTTTCAATTCATCCTGTCTCAAAACCCCTGAACAGGCATCTAATGAACTCGGCCAGAACTACCATCTTCAACTCCCACCGCCATACAACAACATTATCATCGGCGGCGCGAGGCAACTTCTCTGCCATTACCCGGACAAGTGCATTCTCAACGACGAGGAAGACCAGCAATTTGAGGGTGCCCCCGAGTTTTACGAGACGTGGCCATCATCAGACATTGTTGGCTGGGAGGGTGGAGAAAAGGCAGAATTTGCCAAGCCTGTTAACGAGGGCGGCTGCTGGTCCGGTGGTAAGCCTTCCTCATGATTTTTACTAAGACAGACCAGTTGACACTTTTGACAGTTGACTCCTCGAGCATTGACGGATTCCCCTTTGTCGGGGCTATCCCCAAACAAGACGGACATTTCGTCACAGCGGGATTCTCAGGCCACGGTATGTACTCTTCTTCTCAAAAGACTTCACGATCAAAGCTAACAAATGTCAAGGCATGCCCAGAATTCTGGGCTCTACCGCTCATCTCACCCCTCTCATACTCGACGCCTTGGCTGTCAAGTACACCGTCCCATCGATAGTCGCACCGTTCCCTCCCTTGCCGAGTCCCTTCTTTGCCACTGCTGAGCGGATTGAGAAGTTGCAAAAGGTTGATGCCGCGCCGAAATGGGAGGAGGAGAGAAAGAGCAGTTTGGAAAGCGCGAAAAAGCCGTTCTGCAACGACGCTCGCAGCCGCCCGAGACTGTAGCGTGGAAGTAGAGGAGTAGAAGACCCATTGAGAGCCTCTTCATCTGTAAAAAAAATGGGGCCTCGTGTATATAAAGTGCTCAATAATTGGGCCGACAAAATAATAAAGAACCTACAAAATGATACTTAGGAACCCACTTTGGAATGGCTGATTGTAGAGTGAGATGCGATTGAGATATACCGCTAGGACTCAGCATAGTCCACCAACCTCACATCAACTATGAACCAAGGTGAGTGACCTGGCGAATGCCTTCAAATACGAGTCTTAAAGTCACGTCTAGACTCTTTGATCTTCAAAGCCAGGGCTTCCATGTTACGTGAGCACGGGATATTTTTTCCTGGCGAAGGGTGACTTATGCCCCGGATTACGTGGTGCTCCTTAAAGCTGTCCACACCGAATGGAAGACATCAAGGTCAGGCAGACATCTACAGGTCGGCGAGATTTCAAGCGGAAGGGAAATGTACAGTCTCTTTACTAATTAAACAATGACTAAACGACCGGGGTGCCGGGTCGAGCCTGACTCAGTCATCTCGCGTCTGCCCCGCCGCCGATGGCACACCATCGATCGCCGCCAGCTCCCCCGCATCAATGTCCGTCTCCGCGGGCTTCTCCGGCACCAGGCGGATGAGGAAGACCATGCAGGGCACGGCCAGCAGCAGGATGGCGCAGTTGACGATGAACGCAACCTTGGGGTCGGCGCCGGAGTTGGTGTTGATGGCGTACGAGACAGCCTGTCCTGCCGTCTCGAACGCTCTGAAGAGGCCGCCGGTTCTGGAGCTGGAGGCGACGTCGGTAGAGAAGGTGCCCAGGATCCAGTAGAGGGACAGCTGGGTCCAGTAGCCGGTCGTGAAGATGATGAGATAGGGGATGTAGGCTTCGGCCCATCTTCTACCGTGGCTATTGGGAGCTAATGTCAGTAACTTTGAGGGTGAAGCGGAGGAGGAGGAAGGATGCACGTACGTTTCGTAGTCAAGTGCCGGCTTGGAGAGGCCGAACTTGCCGTACTCAATGCCGATCCAGACGAAGCAGGCTGCCTGGGGAATGGACCACATGGCAAAGGAGATCCACGCTCTCTTTGACTGGGACCAACGGGTGTTGTCCAGAAGCCTTCCGTAGGCAATGACAAGCGGGATGGTGATCGTGGCTGAGAAGCGTGTTAGATGTGTTCCTAGTATTGAGGTACGGGGACTGCTTACGCATGATCAAAGAAGAGAGCGCGCGAGCACGGACAGAGAAGTGCAGAGAAAGATAGGTTCCCATGGTTCCACCGTAGAAGAAGGAGTAGAAGGAGGGGATGAAGATGAGCCAAGTCTGCACCCGGCATTAGTTTGTGACAGTAGTCTTGAACGGAAGAGACCTTCATACCTTGGGACGCTGTGCGTGCTTCCACAGGGCAGAGAATTCCTGCTTCCAGCTGATGCTGGGAGACATCGGGATCTTGGCACCGTCTCTACGTCGGACGCGCCTGGTGGGCGAGAGAAGGAATGCCCAGATGACACCGGTGCACTCTGTGAAAATAGCCTTGGTCAGTTACTGTAGGCTTATACAAGCACGATGGGAAGACTTACCGAAGCCAACGAAGATGAGGTACGTAGACCATGCAATACCGCCGGCAGTGCTATCGGAGTAGTTGGTGGAGAAGTTGATTGCACCTCCCATAACACTGCCCGAGTTCCTCATCGCGGACCAAATGCCTAGGTAGAAGCCTCTGTCGTCTTGCTTGGGGTACGAAAGCATTGCGGTCGTCTCGGCGACGTAGAGGAATCCCGATGTGAAGCCTCCAATCAGCTAAAGAGGTGTTAGACTGGTTCAAATGCTCAATGGCAGTTACACATGTGACCTACTCTAGAGAAGAGAAGGTACCAATCAACACCATACTTGGCGTTGACATAGTAGGCAGAGCCAGCCAGGGGCATGGCAATGGCAGCAATCATGCAAGACCACTTGATGCCGAATTTGTTGATCAGAGGTCCTCCGAAGAGGGTCATCACGCAGCCAGCCGCATAGTTGAGCGAGGTTGCCAAGTTGGCGAGGTACGGGGTGGAGAGTCCACCACCTCCGAGGTTGGAGATGGCGTCGGACATGGCGGGGCCGACGAAAGACAACCTGCAGCAGAAGACACAAGACTTAGATTCTACATTTGCATCGATGCACAGACGTTTGCTGTTACTTACGCTCCAAACAGGATCATCTGCCACAGAACACTGCGCCAGAACTTGGTGAACTTTGGCGCACGCAGGTACGCGTCGTCGATGCCATAGTGGTCGGCTTCGATCACATGGCTGGGCACGGTGCCCAGCTCAGTGGTGTCGTCGACCTTTGTGTCGTCTTTCGTGGGTTCAGGAGCCATGGTGAAGAGATGGCGAGATTTGGCGTATCTCGATTAAGAAGAGATCAGTGCGGCAAAGAGAATGTGTCTCAACGTCCATTGGAGTTATATATTCAAGGTTTTTGGGGGTCGCCTATCAGCCGCCCAGACAGGAACTTGGAACGTCCGTATCAATGGACTTGGTTTGGGTGAGGCCCAGGCGCTGCGTAGGGCCAGTCAGGAGTGTGCCATTGTCATCCATGGCACACCGGCCTGGAGATAACAAGTGACACGCGCCCATCTAAAATCCCCGATGCGTATCTGTCAAGCGGATGGCCCTTGCAACAGCAGCAACCTTGCCACTAGATTCCGATCCCCTTCAATGAAACGCAACTGTTCCTGGCTTGGCATCCAAACTTCAAGTCGACCGGCTTCACAATGTCAAAAGCCCAATTCGACATCAGACAATCCGTTCAATTGAACATGGCAATTGAGCTGGCAAGACCCTCTGCTAATAATGTCAACATGTCGCCATCAAGGTATCAAAACATGAGCCCATTTCCCCAGACGGCCAGTGTCCTCGCACCCCGCTGACATCCCGGATGGCGGCCGCGGGATGGCTAGATGACAAGCTCTCCCCCCATCGACACATGCTACCCTGCTCATGTGGCCTCCCAACCTCGACCAACCACACACGACCGCAGACCGGCAACGAGCAACAGTGTTGGCTCTTATCTGCACCGGCCCGGTTCCGGTTCCCCTGATAAACGTGGTCTCTCCAGGGGGCAGGCAGCGTTGATAACGTTCCGGGACCGGGTAAGGTAAGCCAGACGAGGCGGGAAAGTTGAGCACGGCCGCCAGGTTGCAGGGCGGCGAGCAACGGTTATCCTGCATATCCCGCGTTATCTGTGGGTGACGTTGCAGTGGAGCTCTCTCTGCTGTCTGTCCCTCCCAGCTGGGTGTCTGTCTGCTCCTCTAGCCTCTACTTAGTCGGCAGGTGTCCGGGGTGTGGTGGAACAAGCGAACTCCATCGGTTTGGGGTATCTGAGCCGAAAGCGGGGGAGGACCCAGCAAGCAAGCGATAGCGCTGACGGCGAACATTTCCCAAACATTTCCCGGGGGAACTTTATAACAGCGAGGTCCGGCCGAACGTGGCTACTAAGCGTGGTGTTACCAAAAGCAGTCAGTGGTGTGTTAGTGCGCTGTAATTCGATTTACATATTCAATTGGCAACAGACGGGCGGATTGATTGATAGACAGACACTGCTTTCTTCCGATACGGATAAGCCATGCCGCCCTCCCCGCTCCCGGTTCCGAACTCCACGACCTCCTTCTGGAGGTCAAGTCCGCACCCGCTCGACAATCACCGGTCTACCCCCGACGTCCCCTCACAGGTCGACATTGCCGTTATTGGCGCCGGCTATGCAGGCGTCTCGACGGTCTACCACATTCTCAACATCGCCAAGGCCAAGGGCACCCCGCCCCCGAACATTGTGATTCTCGAGGCGAGAGAGGCGTGCTCCGGGGCCACGGGCCGAAATGGTATGTTTTTGATATGTTTGATTTTATTGAGATACTTCTAATGATGCGGCGGTGCAGGCGGCCACCTGAAGCCGGACCCCTACAATCGACCTTCAACCCTTGCTCTCACGCATGGCGTTGAGGTTGCTGGCGAGTGCGCCAACTTTGAGGCGGACAACCTCGCAGCCGTGAAGAAAGCTATTGAGACCGAGGGCATTGACTGCGACTTTGTGTACACGCGCGCTGTTGACGCGTTGATGAGCGAGTCGATCTGTGAGCGCATGAGGTCTGGCGTTGAGTTGCTGAGGAAACATGGCGTCAAAGTGATGGACGACGTGTACTTCGCCAAGGGGGCTGAGGCAGAGCAAGTCAGTCAACTCTTTGACATTAAAGGTTAAAGTCGCTGACAGAAACCAGCTATCGGGCGTTAAGGGCGTCAAGGGATGTCTCTCATACACGGCCGGTCACCTCTGGCCGTACAAGCTCATTATCGGCCTCCTCGAGAAGGAGCTTGCCGCCGGCGTGAACCTGCAGACACACACACCCGTGACTAAGGTCACAGAAAAGCCCGATGCAGACGGGCTTCTCACACTCACCACGCCGCGGGGAACTGTGCGCGCTAAGAACATCGTGTACGCGACAAACGGCTACACGTCGTCGATCCTGCCCGAGTTCTCGGAAAAGATTGTCCCCGTGCGGGGGATATGCAGCCACATCCACCCCGGAAAGACGCCCGCACCGCTGCTGCCTCACTCGTACATCATCCGCTGGTCGGAGAGCGAGTACGAGTATCTCATCCCGAGGCTGGACGGCAGCATCGTCGTGGGAGGTGCCAGGGGCGCGTACTACCACGACTTGGAAAAGTGGTATGGCAATGTCAGCGATGATAAGCTGATTGAGGAGGCGAAGCACTACTTTGACGGGTACATGCAGAAGGTCTTCAAGGGCTGGGAAGACACTGGCGCGTACACGAACAAGGTGTGGACTGGAAGTAAGTTGGCATACTCTGGGACCGATGTGAGGTGTTTGCTGACGTTACTCGCTACTAGTTATGGGATACTCCACGGACTCAACACCGCACGTCGGCGTGGTCCCTGGTAGGCAGAACCAGTTCATGCTGGCCGGCTTCACCGGTCACGGCATGCCGCAAATCTTCTTGTCTGCGAAGGGC